CCTTGCCTCGGAATTAGCTGCCCCCCACCGGTCCAACCATGTATACTTTTTGGTGAGCATCAGAGCACAAGGCGCAGTTCATCTCTATTTACTCAGGCTTCCGGGTGCCTGAGGGTGATGAGCCGCAGCTAGAATTGGCGTACGGTTTTTTTTAAGTGTTGTTTTTAAAATGTTTATACATGCTCCCAGCTAGTACAATAGAGACATCTGTAGAAGACGTTTCCCTTAATGAATATAATTTTATTTAAAAAAATAAGGCGAGGTGAACCTGATAACTATATCTGGTGGATATGTCTGATATGCAAATCAGCAGTGAAATGGTTAATAGTGTAAATAATAAGACTTAGTATTTATATATTGCCTTACCTCTTCCAGGGTCTAACATCCCACGTCCCTTTGGGCTCTTACTGCAGGCTGGTTCCATACCCAAGACTAACCTGGATCCGGAGGACTATCACTGATAATAGAGTGCCCTATTGCTCATAAGCTATTTTAAAGCCACAAATAGTTCTTACGTCCACAATCATTAACAACTGCTCCTTTTGCAGTTAGGGTGATTTTTTTTTAACATGACATTTTAGCTTGTCTACGCTAAATTCCGCAGATTTCCCAGCAACTGTGGATTTCTGTGGTCAAATACGCCTCTTTTGTGCCTGTTCAACACTTTGTTGCATTGTTTATCTACAATTTTATGCAAAGGCTGCAAATAAATGACGTCTCCTTCGGAAGACACTACAAATTGCCAACCCTTTATGGGATGATGTGTTTCTGGAATCCTAGGGACCCGGCCGTCCTACAGTCCTCACTCAGGCAACTTTCCCATTCAAGTGAACATGAGACAGGACAGATTAATACAGACGTGTATTCTGCAGGCGCAGCTCTATTTCGTTAACCGAGCTTCGAAATGCAGATGTTTACTCCAGCGAGCCTTTGTGCTTGCGGTGCAATAGTGGTGAAATACCCTAACTTTACACAGTGCGTTTGAATGAGAAATATAACGGCGATTTCCAATCTCCAGGCTTCTTCAGGGAAGCGGCAAGTGAAATCAAAGTCCCCTTTTTATTGTTCCTTGTTAGCAAACACACATACACGTGTCTCCCTAGTCCCCTTTGAGCTAAAACGAAAACCTGACCCAAGTACGTTATTTGTTCCTTGCCTGCAAAAGCATTTCCCAGCCCACAAAAATTCCCTCCTTGTATTTAGCCGTTCGCCTGTCAATAGAGTGGCAGAGGCCACGTTACTGCCATTAACCTTTTCATCACCTTTGCTCCCAAAAATTCCTTATCACAGTTCACGTGGATTCCCTTGGAATAAGGGCAGGTGCGATCCCTTGTCCACAGGGTTTTCAACGCTCCATTAAGCACAGGCCCAGTGGCGTTGAGATGGGCGAGGCAGGGGGGCGGGAGACCGTGCCCAGGTCAGAGTAACAACCAAGTGGAAGAACCGGACACAATGTGGTTGAAACACAGTCTCGTTTAGACGGAGAGATTTAATTGTCAGTATTTTTTTCTTGTGACATTTTAGGCTGGAAGATTAGACTGACCTCTGTTTTGATTGCTTCTACATCTCCCTCTATGGACACAGGGAAACATGTCCAGTTATGTATGTGGATGTATATATAGAAAGATACACAAAGATAAATACAATATTAGATTATACAACAATGGTTTCTCTTCTCTTTAATTGTAGTTTCTTGTTTTACTGATTACGACTATTTTTTATATTTAAAATCCGTTTTCTGCCAACGAGTGGGTGGATATTTATTCACACTAATTATTGTACAGATTTGCAAGGTTTCCTGCTTTTGGTAGAAAAATCTCAAACAGGACACGTATTTCGGATAAATTTAATCGTGTTTTAATCACTGAAATGTTGAGGACAACAAGAAATGCATATTTGGAGACGAATGGCTGATTTTTAGTGTCAAAATCCTACTCTGTTACACCGGTGTAAATCCAGAGTAATTCTATTTACTTCAGTGAAGTTACGCTGGATTTATAGCGGATTTTCCCTTTAAGGGAAAATAAAAATCAGATAATTGTTTCTACATAAAGTGTAAATCATAAAATAAAAACCCCGGTTTTTAAAGTAAAGAATGGTCAGTTTCATTTTCTTTGGGTTTAAGACACATGTACTGTGTCTTAAACATCAGGTTTTATCAAAGACAAGAGAAGGAAATTTTAGTGTTTTAATATTCGATAGCTGGATGTGTAAAAAAAAGCCAAAACGTCAGAATAATTTCATATAGATCATCCTCGATATTTTTTACCTTTAGTAAAAAGCACCATAAACTATGCGTATTGAATTCAAAGACAACCAGTTTGATTCTTTACCATACATGTGCATAGTTACAGTTCCCAAAAAGCTATAGCCCTAACATTACACAGAGTTTTGAGACACAATCTACACTTTCCTTTCATTTTACACTTTCCTGCAGCACTATATGGATTAAAAGAAAATCAAAAGAAAGCTTCAACATAACCCTTTCCCTTCATAACCCAATCTACTTAAAAAAACCCTAGAAGCCCAAACACATCGTTCAAATCTCTACCCAAGAGCTGGGGCCAGATCCTCCTCTGGTGTAAATGATCATCACTCCTTTGAAGTCAATAGCACTCTGACAATTTACACCAGTTGAGACGGTCTGAATTAGCGTTAGTAAGCAAGGGTGGCTGCAGGAAGAGAAAATCCTGCGCCTTCATGCGTGCAAAAGATGCAGCAGTGAAAAGAAAATCGGAAACAAATGTTAAAACGTGTGTTGACAGGAACGATGGGTTATCCGGAACTTTAAAGGGGCAGAGAGGGGCCCCGAACTTGCAACCCCAAAGTCCCATTCATTTTCATGGGAGTTTCGCCTGAGAAAATACTTTAGGTCTAAAGAATTGCGTTCCATTCCCCCTCACCCCCGCAACATAATCGAAATAAAACAACCCCCACCTCCTCGTTTCCAAATCGCTCCCCCACCAGACCCTGCTGGAGTTTCTGAACGTTTTCCTTGCAGGAGTAATATTTGAACATTGACCACGAGAAATCTACAAACTAGATCTCGTGAAAACTGACATTTACAAGGAAGAACAAAACTCTCCCTAACTCCACTTGCCAAGGCAAACTACTCCCTGGGGTTACGAAAGATACCTCAGCGCAGGGGAGCCGCTGGGGGTGGGCGGTGGATTTCCCGGTCTCTCCTCCCACCGAGGAAATCGCTGCTAGAGAATTCCAGCTTTTCACTGCCATGCGAAGGGAAAGGAGAGGTTGACCTTCCCTGAATAATTTAAAGGAGGAAGATGAATCTTTGAGTATGCAGCTCTATGTATATTCCGAGGGTGGGGCATATTCCATATGGGTGCACATAAACCCAATCATTAGACGCTTAATTTTGGAGCCTTTGTGGAGTATAACCACCAAGAAAAAAAGGTTCATTAGCAAAGTAGCTTTAGGGATTCAGGGGGAGGAGAAAGCGTTGGGACATGGCCCAAGTCACGCACACGTCCAGAAGCATAAATATATTAGGTTACGTTCAGGTCTGCTTTCAAAATCGGTTTCACTACTTCGGTTCTTTTGAGCGAATCATACGAAAGTCCCTCCAGTCAGCCCGGAAAGGAAAGTAGTGCAACAAAAGAGGGCAGGGAAACGTGATGAGATCTTGGCAATTATCTCCCATTGTCATGTGCCTGTGTCTCCACCATGAAAAGGACTTCACTGCACGAAACAATAAAGCCCAGCTCTCTTGAATTCGGTCCCGGACACTAATAGGAATTTGGACGGAATTATTGGACGTAAAGACGCTTAATTTACACGATGCTCTAAAAAGCCATGAGCCTTACCTGGAAATAGTGTGGCCAGATAGCAAATGTGAAAAATCGGGACAGAGGGTGGGGGGTAATAGGAGCCCATATTAAAAAAAGCCCCAAATATCGGGACTGTCCCTATAAAATCGGGACATCTGGTCACCCTACCTGGAAAGTACACAGTCATCGGCACACACAACTCACGCAGCCACAAATTCTCCCCCCGGTATTTTTCCCTGCTGTACAATTCCAGAGGAAATAAAACACTAACAGGATCATGCTGCCACAGCATTTTGTAGTCTTTATAGATTTGTTTCAGGAACTTTTAGGGGATCAGTTCAAAGGAGGGAGGCTGCCCCAAGTGGCTATTTCATTTTTATATGGATTTCGTAGTTTAATTAAGAACTGGAAGTTTGGAAGGCGATTCTCCGCCTACCCGATCCAGTTTTGCAGCTTTAAGCGTCGTGTGAAGTACGACCCCTGGCTATGCACAGCGTGCTGGGGTTATTAGGTAAGCACTGCGCACAGGAATGAGAGAGTGGAAAATACATATACTTGGAATGACAATGTTGCCACTCCGTGGATTGAAATTATTAAATAGGCTGCCGACGACTTGCTCAATACAATCCCCACAAGAGCCAGCACCAACAAATATGGCCTCGACATCTGAAGGATTCACTATTGCTACCAACAACAAAAAAGTTAAAATAAATCAAAAATAAAAGAAAGCAAAGCTGCCCACCCACGCACATTCCCCCAGAGCAGATTGTGGATTGTTAATCGATCAAGAGCACAAAAACCTTACTCCTCAAGTCCTTTCTAAAGCAAAGTGTACACTGCACTTTAAGTGTGTACTATATAAAGTCAAATTGTACTCGTCCAATCAAATACTTCGGAATTTATCTTTTTAGCCTATAATTATAGCGAGTATTCTGACTTCACTGCATCCTAAATGTAATTTAACTAGACAGAGTATAAAATATCCAACCTCTTTCTCAGAAGGAAAAGACCTATTACTGTTCTGAATATATTTGATCAAATATATGTCAATACCTCTAACATCCGCTGATTCACCCAAAATGTATTGATCTAAATCGTCTTCCGCTAGGGAAATGAAACAATAAGTGACAATAAGATAGCACTGCCAGTGTAGGAGAGGAGAGACTTTCTAAACGAAAAATATCTGTGCCTATTTAGAATTCTATGCAAAACGTAGAAAGGACACAATGGACATAACTAGGTGTTAAACTAAAGTTTATAAATTAAAAAAGTACAGCGGATAGCTTACAAACATTCACAATTCATTTAAAGTAAATAATCTAGTTGAGTGCACAGTGCCATTAAAGGAGGAAAAAGCCACGAATTACCTTGTAAGAAAGAGACTGTTACATTACTGAAGTAGATCACAAACCCACAGGATAGGTTTGCTGACGAATTTAAAGAAAGAAAAAGAAAAAGGCACTGAATGGTACTAATTTTCCCCATTACGTCCATTTTAAAAAAGCCTGACTAGAAATATTCACATTGAATATAAAAATAACATTAACTTTAGTACAACTGGAAAGTGCTAAAAACTCGTTACTTCTCCCTCCCCCAACCCCCACCAAGGAAAGATCCGAGGGAGAAAAGAGATCTGGCTTTTTGATACAGGGCTCACCCTTTTGGGACACATCTGTCCTTTGCCATGGACCATGAAGAACAGGAATAACATGGGCAACAAGAGCACGGGGGATTTGAAAGAGGTTCCTTACATTCAGCACCATAAAAGGCACACACGGTTTGCAATAATTTGGAAGACCAAGGACTCCAACAAACAGAGAAAAATAATCTTCCTTTCAGTCCATGGGGGAGTCCTTGATCTCCTGTTCTGATCTGAGTTTCTTTTTCCTCTCTCACACACCAGATTCGGGTCTCTTATCAATCCGGAGCAACAATATCAGCAAAACAAAAACAAACAAGCAAGTCTACACGGAATAGAGTGACAACATGGATACCATGAACTAGTCGTGCCGAATTACAAGAGTCCTCGGCTTGAGGGGGGGGGGGAGTTTGCAAAAGTCACAACTTGGAAAGGAGGGGGAGGGGAAATTACCCAAATAACAATAATAATAAAAATAATCAAATAAAATAATAATAATAAATACTGTCCGGTGCATACAGTCCTGCAGCTGGGGCTCGGGGTTGCTTTGGATCTGAGAGGGCTGGGGCTGGTCAGTCTCATTGAGTCCCCGCGGCTGCGGTGCAGGTGGACAGGGCCCACCCGGGCAGGCAGTAGTAGGGGTAGTAGTAGGAAGGCTGCAGGGAAAGCAGCGAGGGCGGCCTCAGCATCTCCCCCGGGTGATACTGTCTCTGATCGTCCCGCACCAGCACTTTCACCGCCACTTTCTTGGCGGCCGGGGCCGAGGCCAGCAGGTCCGCGGCCATCTGGCGCCGCTTGGTCTTGTAGCGGCGGTTCTGGAACCAGATCTTCACCTGGGTCTCGGTGAGCTTGAGCGAGGCCGCCAGGTCGGCTCGCTCCGGGCCCGAGAGGTAGCGCTGGTGGTTGAAGCGCCGCTCCAGCTCGAAGACCTG